AATAAATATATGGCAGAAATTGCATGTGAGTGACCTAAATTCTGACGATTAATCGACACATTCATGCAAAATCAATCACAACAACTGTGATTCCAAATCCAAAACGATAAATTATTGCCTAAATTCGCCAAAGTGCACAATTCTTGGCAAAATTGACGACATGAGCGGTGAAATACAATCATGTTTGAGAGTAGATTGCCTTATTATCGTTTCGGGCAGCATGCTAATAAATTCCAGGGATTATTAAAGTTGGCCATCATGGTGCATTATGAAGTTTTAATATGACTTCCTCCAGAATTCTTGCAATTTGATGCATTTTCACACGTACAAAGGCACCACGAGCAGAGAAGAGAGATGGATCTGTAATTTCCCGAGAGGGAAGAGGAGATTATATTTCCGCCCCATCGTGCCTCCCCTCGTGTCAAAGGGATGCCACAGTGCATCGCCAGGGACTTTCCGGGTGTGAGAGTTTACCAGCAACAAATCGCATTAATTGTAATTACGACAATATGCAATGTTGAGCTCAATTTAGTTGCAAAAGAGCAAGCACACAACTCCCCAACAATGGACTCTTGCCGCATTCTCCGGAGAAATGAAATATCCAATTAGGAATATGTGCAACTTTTTGCTCAACTCAATTTCATGTGTAATAATGCTTTATGGGAAATCAATTCAGTGAATCCGTCTCAGCATATTTCTCTTCAGCATCATTAAACTCCTGCAGTTTCTGCTTCGCATTGAGAGAGAGCCATAAAAGACAGAGAGTGAGGAGTTTAGGGAAATGTTGCAGTAGAGCCAGTATTAAAATGGATTGATGATGGAAAATGTTGTCCGCGGGTAATTTTGAAATGCACACATTGAATTTTTGCTGGCGGAAACTGGGGTGCAATAATTACATTGAGTTTGTGGCTCGACTTCCGGGGCGTCTCTATGACCGCAATTTGTCACATTCACTGCCACATTCTCACCATCGAAATTGGATGCTCGACAGAAATGGCAGAAACTCCTTTTTTTGTGCAGCACCACGAGAGGTGAATAAGCATACAGAGAGAGAGAGTCCTTTCATGCGTCCTGGAACATACGGCGAAGTGGAAAATGTTGATGAATAGAGCACAGATTCCATTTGAGATATGAAATCAAGGCTTTTGTCAATGGTTTGTAAACGGAAAAAGTCGCATGAACACCTCTGAGGGTGTTTTTTTTTCTTGAATTGCACAGCATCATTTCCAGCACTGGTGCAAGTTTTCACCCTTGCAAGGGTGGAAATTTTCTCTGCGGGGCTCGTGAAAGAGGAAATGTCGCCGTAATATTGTGCACAACAAGAGAGACTTTTCCAGTTCGCAGCGCCCAAATGGAAATTTATTATAATTCCTCTGCGCGATGACAACATAAAACAGCGCCACGGGTTGACGCGATGACAGAAAAAAGACGCTTTCCGGGGGGAGGAAAGTTAAGATCTTACCGGTAAGTAAGGAACAAATTGCTACACTGTGCCAACCATAAATTCCCATCATCGCAGAGGACTTCCCTTTAACCGTGTACCGCACTTTTTCCTCATCTCCTCCTGCACTTCCTTGCGACTTTTGATGCTTTTCCATTTCACAGAATTACCCCAATTCCACTGCACACTGCAAGTTATGTCCTTTTTCTACACCACAATATTTTACAGTGGGTGCCAAGAAGTGTATGAAGAAGTAATTGAATTAAAATCCAGAAATCATGATTAAAAACAAAGACGTCTTTTACCCTTTTTCCTGGCCAATAACATCGATTTATTGCACATGCCCAGGTGAGATTCTGGTGAATTTATAATGATTTAATTTTACCTTTCTTTGATAAAAATTCAGACGAGAGAATTTCTTAATCGAAGGACCCTCAATTTCTTGAAGTGTTCATTTAGTCACAACTGTGTTGCTCTTGGTGAGACGATTAAACACCCTTCAGATTCTTCCCACCCTCTCTTGCGGGCTCCCTTTGCCAACAGCAGAGGGCAGGTCAGGAATGCCAAAAGAGCTGGAAAAGCGAGGGTAATATGAGAGAATCACCTTTCGCCCTACATTATTTATCCGATGGAATATTCTCAAATTTAATTTGTGTAAAGGACCTTTATTGATACTCTCAGAAGAGCTGAAGGAACTCTAGATGTGAGATTATGGAAGACATTCTGTCACGGATAATGTGTTTTATTCATATAGCTTAATCAAGACAAGTTACTTGACATTTTATAGTTATTTTCATGACAAAAAGTGTTTTGCTCATTTTTCTACGTATTTTACGTTGCGTTTAATCATTTACTTGTTATCCAGAAGGTTAAATGGGTCATGAAAAGCATTAAAAAATTGAAGAAGAGAAGAAGAATCTTTTACGTCTGTCTTATTTATGTGTTCATGACGAATCAAAAATATTCAGGAAGCAAATTATAGACACAAAATTATGGTCAATAAAGTGCAGAAGAAGAAAATTCAGTAAAACCACACCCACACACAATACAAAGTCATTTCAGCAAGCAAATCGCAGCTCAAAGTGCTCATTTCCTAGCTTTTCCAGTCATTTTAATCGTCACTGTACTTTTGTTTCTACTATTTCCGCTCCAGAATTTACAGAATTTAATCTCACTGGTGGAAAAATTGTGTACATTTTTGCATTTTCCAGGGGTTTCGAGGGCATTTTTTTCGACAAATTGCTGCCCTTGGGAGAGTACACACTTTGGATGGAAGTGAGATGTTTCAGACTGAAATTAATGGTGGGAAATTAAAATTTATGGCCAGAGCATGACCTATTTGCTATTTGGGTGGAAAAATGCTCAAAACTTCTCACTGAAAAATTGTATCAATTCCCAAAGTGTAGCACTTGGTGCGCACTGAATATTCACGAGAGCTTTGATGGCATCCAGAGAGAGAGAGCAGGAATTTCCACACCATGTCGAATGCCTTCAGACACACTCATGCTTATCTATTTATTGATTCACCATTCCATCGCATAATCCCCATCGCATTTCTGCCCCAAACTTCCCATGAGCCTGGAAAAAAAATAAATAAAATGTGTCTCTCAGAAGAGCGTGGAGCGATGGAAATGGCTTGAAAATTGGGAGCGGCTGAAGTTCGTGCAGAAGAAGGTGGAAGGATACATGTAAATACAGAGGCAAATAGGATGAGAAAGTGTGGTGAGAGGCAACAACGGCGGCCTCAACGAAAATGATTTCATAAAACTTTTAATGAGTTAAGCTCCGGCATCCATGTAAGCGGAGCAAGTCGCCTGTTGTATGGCTGAGAAATGTTCGGGAGAGAAGGAAAAATTCCAAGAATGGCCCCAAGGAAATCCTCCACTCCTTCCCATTCCTTCCATCGTCCCATTCTCCAACGTGAAAACACCTATTAGTTCCCTTTTTGTCCGAATTCCTCTCTCTCTCTGCACAGAAAACCCATCTCCGCTTGAAAGGTTAAAAATAAATATAACAATGGAGATGTTAAACACGTGCTGAGGATATTTTCTTAGGGATTTGCAATGCTAATGTGCAGATAAATCTGTCTCATGAGGGCTAAATAGATGATAACTTGCTCCTAAGTCGATAAATCAACCAGCAGATGATCTATTTTTCTCAGAAATATGTCAAATGCGGAACACTTGAAGTGTAGCAAGAATGGTGAGGATGTTGAGCAAAGTTGGGAGAGAGCATTTGACATGTCATATGCGACCTCCCAATTGAACAACTACATAAGTCCCTGATAGTGAATTCAATATTGGAACATTAAATAAACTTTGTCCTGTTCTCGCAGCGCCCCCAAAAAAAGGACGATTCTACACAAGTCGAAGGCGAAACTTTTCCTATGACTTCTGCAGAAATAACAATTTTGAAAGGAACTTTTCCCCAAGCAAGCTATCAAAGGCCACAGGAATGGGAATAAATCAAATTTTTTGGGGGTGTCGAACTCAGTGACTCTCACCCTTGGCATTGTTGGTTGAGCGCATGGGTAATATTTTCTCCATAATTCACATAAATTCCGAGGAAGTGTGTGTGATAGTTTTAGATGCGACGAACGTGATGGCTGAGATGGCGAAGGCTTTTACTGGATGAGGCGTAAATCTCCCCCAATAAAAGTGATTTCCCATCACTTTCGCCGTCACATAATACAACCAAATTGCAGACATCGTCCGGACACTTTCTCGCCAAAGTCCACAATTTATTCCGGACGGCGGAAGAAGGTGTCAGTAAATCTTTAATGGTATGATATTTTGTCACTCCGTCGCTCACGGGATATGAATTGATTGCTTTTTTTTTCACCCACCCTCGCACAAAGTCGACGTGCGAGCGCTCATCCCCCTTTGGCGCACGCAAAACTGGCAGTTTATTTCCCTGGTGAGCCCATATTATTGGGATCAAATGACTTAAGTTGACCCCTCGTAAAAATTTATCAAAGTTTAAAACACGATCCGGAAGCCGTTCAATGCTTTCACGTCTCCACGACTGGGAAGTGACTGTGCAATTTGAGACCCATCGAATGTCGCTTTCGGGGGTTGGAAAATGAGAGAAAAAGGGATTGGAATTGTCCCATTGAGTCATTGATTTGCAAATTCTACAACACACCAATATCACATTGATTTTCCTCCCCTTTTCTCTCTCTCTTTTTTTTGCGCCGATGCTTTTCAGGGGTGCGTCAATCCGCAAAACAGTCACAATTTGCATAACTGGCGCTGTTTTCGGAATGTAACTTCGCAGACCATAAAAATCTCCTGTCATGACTTTCTCTTCTCGTGACTTAGAGCATTTGCAGTTCTACGACCTCTTAACTCGTGCTTAAGCATTGATTTAGCACTGAATCACTGTAGAAATTGATCTGAAACCGTCACAGAAAGCAAGAAGTTTTGTTGAGTAACGCCAAGTGTAGAAGTCCCGCCCATTTGAATGCTCCGCCCTCAGTTTAAGAAGAACTCTTGAGTATCTTCAGATAAGAAGGCTTCTTGCCTTCTTATCAATATTTTTCCGTTATTACACATCCCTTGTTTGAATCGAACACTCAAAGTTTCAAGTGTCTTTCTAAATGTATTTATTCTGAGGTTTCTCCCTTGTTTCACAATCCAAGAGAGGTCTTTAAATTACCTAATAGTATTTCAAGATGATTTACAATGGGGCCTAATCTAGGATCTACATTCACCTTCCGCCTGGTATTCTGCAGATGGCATTGTGCGTCGGAATGGCCGCCAGACCGGCCAAGGCGATTCCCACGGAATCCGATACGGCGGTGACGCTTATCGCGAAGGCCTTCCTGTTGGGCGACAGCTCAGAGGACATGCGATAGAAGGTGTTGACGTAGGCTCCGCCACCTAGCAGGCCCTCCCACAGCACGATGGCGAAGATGAGCCAAATGCTGGGGCTGAAGAAGTAGAAGACCTCGAAGAGGAAGAACACCACGTTGACGAACTGCAGCACAGCCATTATCCACACTCTCTTGAACGAGATGATGTTGACGGAGGAGCGCGAGATGAACACGCCGATCTGGTAATCCACCTGCAGCCATCGGTACTGCTCGGCTTTGTCCAGCCAGATGTTTGGGAAGTAAACCAGCTCGAACTGGAAGCAAACGGAAAGCACAAGCGTCAACCGAAGATGGAGAGCTTTCGCGCGGAAAGGTGGTAATTTGTGGCGAACGAAGTGGGAAAATCCAAAAATTCTTCGGTTCTCATGACGATTTTCATGTGTAACTAAATATAATACAGAGCATAAAGCTCATGTATTAAATATCATTAGCAATTGATGAATGCAAATACTTTAAAAATTCATGGAAAGCCCAGTCAATGGATGTCAGGCCAAAATGGACCCTTTTGTTGTTTGCTTTGTTTCTGGACAAAGCGAATATTTCATATTGGCAATTCACATTAAATGTTTAATGAGTGACAAATTGACAACTCAAAATTAATACATGCAGAGTTAAATCATCTGAATGAACGTCAAATAATTGGGTTGCATAGCAATATCGCCAAATTGAATATCTCTATCTTATCTGGGAATGTGTCTTTGAGCGAATTGGGCAATAAAAGTACACACGAACAATTGCGACAATTCGATTGTCTCGTGCTATCTTATCAGGTGGCAAGAAGCCATAACAGGGGCTTATTTCAAATGGCTATTAAGAGGCTTAGTTTCACTCACCAGTCCTTGATTGATGAAGTACTCGAAGAGATAGACGAGTGTCAGTGGGATCATGTACTTGAACATTTTGGGAATGTAGCGAATTTTCTCCCTGAAACCAATCAGAGGCGCGTCCTCTTCGTCATAAGACGTCTGAGACGGCGTGGTCTTCTCCACGTCCTCTTGGCTGCGCTGCAGATCGTTGTTGGAGTCGCTGGTGGCGCCTGGGTTGTCAGATCCCGCCGTGGCGCTGATCTGCGGCTGGTGATTGTGCCGAAGAATGCCCCAGAAGGCCACGACCTCCGCCGCGGGCACGACGAGCATCACGAGCAGCGTCTGCGTGGTGTCCAGTCCAAGACTCCTGAGGCCAGCGTACGACACTGCCCCAATAATGCCAGCGCCTCCCGTGCCCGAAGACCACGTCGAGACGACATTTCTGTCCGCGAAATTGATGTTATTCATGAGATATTCAAATGAGAAGCTCTGCGTGTGCACCGAAATCCACTTTGCAGCGCCTGAGAATTTCCATCAAAGTCATTCTCACGTTTTAATTGCAGAAAAGCCACATTTTGCAGCTGTTTTCCACTTCATTCCCATCAACATCTGTCTTTGTTCTGTATCAGCATAATTTTTTTATTTTCCCCCTACTTTGTCGCCTCTCAGCATCCCAAGACATTCAAATGAATCCCACTTAATTTGCGATAAAATCTATAAACTCTGTCTGCAAAAACGTCTGGCGACTTGTTCACAAGTGGGCAGAAAGTCTCAAATTCAATTATGTCTGCTTCCTCTCAATCACTGATTGCAAATTTAATTGCAACACCGCAAATTTTCTCGCTTGAAACATTTTTACGAGCACAATAACAATAAATATTGCTGGCGTGAAAGATGACGACGAAGAGCTATCAAAGTTTTCCTATTTATAATATTCAACTCTTCGTCTTGCTTCACAGAAATTGCCAAGCAAATTTCACTCTTCCTGTCTCAACTTTGGTTACAACTGATAGAAGAGTGTATCCTTGATGTCAGGATATTAGGAGTTTGAGGATTTTTAATTAAATACTGCGGTTCGTCTTCATTCTCTTGATAAAATGACTTTTTGTCACCATTTCTTCATCTCTTTGAGACTTTAAGAGCACTTCAAATGAACTTGCAGAGAAATTTAAAGAACTACATGAAAATAGTGAAATCTTGACCCTTTTGGGCATTATAAAATGACTTTGCATCTTTAGAATTGCACAAGTTGAAATTTCGGTTACTTCTTGACTCTCCACAGCACACAAACTAAGGACACTCACTTATTGTACTTGGAGGAGTACGCAAGGAAAGTTAGTTCACCAAGTCCTGAGGCTAGAGATGTGCAAACGACACCCACAATCGCCACCCATTCTGTTTGGGCGAAGCCAACGAGCAGGAAGCCCGCCGCCGCCAAGCCGCAACACAGAGTCACGCGAACGCTGGAAAGGGAGAGAATCTTGCAATGTGTGTCAATCCTTCCTCGGCACATGATTAATTGCATGGCGAATCAATCACGATGACGAGCGCCGAAGTCCGCCCAGGAGCTCAATCGCCCCCCATGAATGATAATACTATTATTCGCCATCAATCATTTCCCCGCGGGGGCGTGAGTTGAGGGCGCAGTGATAAGGCGCCTGCATCGGATGACTTCCGCGACACTTACTGCACGAAGAAGGGCAGGAAAGGGCCGCTGAATTTGATGCACAGCGCCGGGATGATGTCAGCCAGCAGAATTGCGCCTGTGGAGATGTAATTGCACTCCCTCTGGAAGTCATGCGACGGCTCCTCGTGCGTGTCCTGCAACAGGAAGCATTGGAGACTGAGAAAAACGCCTCTGTCACACACTTCAAGTGCTGTCGCTCTATTTGTTCTATGAAACCTTTTTTTGCGTAGTGTAATTTGAGGTCAGTGACGTAATTACAGTGTGCGCTTGACGAATTCACGATTAGAGTGTATCGAAAAGAAGATGTCATTGAAGTAAATCATCACATTGAATGCCATTCATGAGCTGAATTTATCACATTTCTCTATAAATAAATCATTTTCGCGCTGTTCAAATGGTTCAATGCACTTGAGATTCTGATGCACGCCAAAGTCATTGCTTTCTCCGTCTGAAATTCTCTCTTCAGACACTCTTATCTCCTTTCATCTTCCTGATTTGTCATCGTAAAATAAAAAAAGAATTTCCGATAACTTCTGACATCGTCTTGTCTCGCTTTCTCTCCAGGAAATGCACTCAAGCGATCTCCTCAAGCGGCCAGGTGATCTTAAACAAGTGCAAACCGTCTGCGAACGTCTTTCGCCCCGAGGCGTGACTATCAATGAGACACTGGCACGTGTTTGATATGGAAATCACACCAATTACTCATGCGAACCAGTTTCTAGTCGCGTCTCATTTCGTGTTTTTGCCACTTTCGTAGTTTTAGCGCCGAGATTTGGAGACAAAAAGATTTTCCGGATGTTCATAGCGTGTTTTCCCACGTGATATCAGCGCAATTCACTGGGATGTGAGTATTGTTCGAGCTCATTTTCTGATTTTAATTGAATTAACATACATTTGTGTGTCTCTCCACTCGCTGCTGATTAACAATGAACTTGACAAGGTGATTAGCGCACGCAGTATATTGTTTTTTGGATAGATAAAACAACACATTTTGCACTGCCATGAAATTAATAGTGTTGCAACGCTCTTAAGCAGGTCAAGTAGCTGATACGCGCGTTGCACCTCAAGTGCTTCTTGCGCTGCATTTTTCAGCGCTTCTTTCTCTTCTTTCCTCCATTGTAACGTGGCGCCAAATACTTCTGTGTGAGCGATAAGGAGATTCAAATGCAAAATAGTGCGTCAGCAGAGTTGTAATTTCTACTATCACCAGAACTTATTTGCAGAATTACTGATGCGAAACGGCGCTGGTAATAATATTTTCCACATTAACCGTGGCGTGATCAAACTGACCTCTTCGAATTCGGCAAGAATATCATGCGCAGCACTGAGCATAACAACATATCCGTAGTTGTTGCACAATCCTAGAATCCAGTAAGCCACAAGATCGCGCCACAATTGCCGATCCTTGGTCTTAAGATGCGTTCCCTCGTCTGAATCCACCTTCGAGACGTCGTATGATGATCCCATTTTGTCACTTGTGCACACTTTCAATTGTCTGTCTAGAGATCTGAATGCATACTTTTCACCTGACACAGCAAAACACAAAACTCTAAACACACTCTGGAATTTCACTCTCTTCAACTAAATGTGCTCTTGAGCGATCGCCGGAGTACAACTGGAAGCGATCTTTCCGTGCACGATCGTCAGACCGCAGACGATTGCGAACACATCGATACATTTTCACGCTACACACTCCCCTCCCGTGGAGTTAGCACGAGATATGACACGAGTTTCTAATCGGGTGAATGAAATGCGAGAATTTTCACAAGGGGCTCAAATCTAAGGTGAAAAAACACTCGAAGAATCACTTAAGAAAAGTCGTTAAGGTGAGTAAATCACAGAAAGATCTGCAAAGGAATGTAAATGCAGAGGCCACGCCCACTTGCATGCTCCGCCCACAGAAGAAATAATCAATTCTGCGTGTGTGAAATGCATTTCTCATGCAAACCATTAAAATTCTCTTCAGTTCAGTGCTTTAAAATTTCACGCTAAGCCCTGTTAAACTCTTCTGCTTAATGCTGTTAAATTCTATCATCTGTTAATACAATATATCCCAGATACTTGCGCATAATCAGCGTGTTGATAACCCCTTGGGTGTTTTACACATTTCGCCTTCCACGAGGGAATTCATTCAACTTCTCAAAGGCACCCAGAGCTCGTGTAAATTTCACTGTCTATCGAGAAGCCACACAGTGTTTAATATTCCCCAGTGGCGCTGGCGGAGTCTTGGATGTTGCACACACAAACGGAGTGCAGCTTGCGCAAAATTTACAGAAATAGAGATGAAATTTATTTATGGAGCACGTGAAATTCATTCTGTGGGCACGTCTACACATGCCGATAAGGCCTATTTCCCTCTCTGGCGGCGCCTTATCAGCGACTGACCATTGGAATTTGAGAGGAAGAGAAGCACAGATGACAAAAACACGCCATGTCTCAGTACCATGTAATGAGACAGACGATGATTTATAAATAAACACAAGGCAAGATTAGAGGTTTTATTGGCCCAGCGATTGACAATTGAATAGATTGGGGAAATTCTCACCACTCGAGCACGATTTACAATCTATCGTGATAATTAAATTCCAATAACTCCAGAGATAAGCGAGAACTTCTTTCTGTCTTTCCATTTGAACAACTTCAAAGGTGCCCATTTCAAAGGCCAGAAGCTGAACTGAACGTGCCAATGAAGAAATTCCCATGGGAAACACGAGAGTCGGTCAGCTGAGACAGAACTATTAGGAGAAGCTCTGCAAGATAAGAGTATTATCGTCTCAACAGTTTATAAAATTTTTGCGATTCAACACTGGAAATTCCACTCGTGAGCGCTGCTGTTTGTGCAATTGTACAAGAGAATTAACATGATTTTCAGCACAAGCACGTTCTGAAATTGGTTTTCATTGGCAAAACTTCCCCATGAGAATCCACTTAATCTGAAAGTTTCAAATGTGATTGCATCCAATTCAATTCGCCTCCAATTATTAAACAATTTATTTGTGGTAAATAAATAGTTAAGAAAATGCTTCGCTTCCAAAATGGATTTATAGGAGGAGTTTCTCTCCGTCCGAGACATTTTATTGAATTGCAAGAGTCGTTTGATCTCCCACATGAAATGTTGTTTGTTGTCCACTCTGTCACTCCCAGTAAAATGCAATTCAATTAATTATATTTGATTACATCCGATGTTTTTCCACTTTTTCTGGGTGTGTATTTTTCGGCTTCGGAGAAAAATGATACTCTGCCAGGGAAGTGAATTAAGGGAGGAAAATTTGGGGGGTGGGAGTTTGAAAATTCATTGTGTCATTTTTCCGTGTCAAATTGCATCTCCCGCCACGACAGTGAGAGAAATCACTTTGGCAGTGTGGATTATGGATCAAATATGAGGGACTTTCTTGTGACGGTGGAGCTGAAGAAAAAGTGCACGACAAGAACTTGGAACGGAAAATTTCACTCTATTTCCGCTTGATGGGGAAAAACTACCCAAGAATGGCAACACAGCCAGTCTCATGACGATGTTATATCGACTGCACACCGGATATTGAGCTTCTTCACTCGCAGTGTCTTCGTGTATGACAAGAGCGCCAAACTATCCAACGACGCTGTGGAAATTCATGTCTGGAAAATTGTCATTATTGTTTGATCGAAATTTCACTTTCATTCGCAATCTTCAGCGTAATTAATAATTAATGATTCTTCTGTCTGGAATGGATCCGGATTTGTGTGGGAGCTTTAATCTCCCAGAGAAAATGACTGAGCGTGAAAGGTGTTGCTAAGTGTGGGATTTTGATGCTCAGCAGAAATTCGACCTCCTCAGAAGATGCTTTCTAACCTGTGAATTAATCTTACGCCTCATGAGAAGTCAAAGATAAGTGGAATGCTCGTTTTCTCTGTTTTCCCTGCACTTGTGGCTTGCCTATCAACCATCTGATGGCGCCTGTACAGAATGGGGACTCAGGTGTATCCTTGGGTGTATCCCTTTTGCAGATGCAGCGACGCAGTGTTTGGCAAACACTCGAGGACTTTCACTCATGTCCGCATCAATAATCTGCAGCACAAATTACACTTTGGCATTAAGGATTGCTGGCACTGGCACAAAGGGAAGCACGGAAAAGCTCCTGCAAATTATCTTGAAGAAACTTCACTTATCAAATGCGCTGCATTTACTCGGCGAAGTCGGCGAACCACTTCACCTTCTGGAGAAGGTGAAAATACTGAATTAGGCCTGAAAAGTTAAGGTTCGATCAAAGTATATTGAATGTTCAGCAGGCCATAAGGTGGAAAAAGTGGCCTCAGGTGGTGAATTTCGCACGCTCGTGCGAAAGAAGAGATCTTGAGATTCCCAAATGTCAAGCAAACAGTCATATTAAGCGCATAAATTTCGCCATAGTGGGCATATTTGTATTACCTACACAGTATGTGTGTGTGTGAAATTTATGGAAAATCACTTGACATTCTTCTGCAGTGTTTGCCGTCGAAGCATGTAATCCGGGAAAATCATTTCGCGATAATGGCAAAACGTGTTCCTATGCAAGACTTTTTCCATCATTATGCCCGCACGTCTTGTGACAAAATTGCGGAGTATAAGCTTTCTGTGCCACGCCGAGTTGCGGAGCATGATGATAAATAAACAGTGAGATAGAGCATAAAAGGTTTTCGATGGCATCTGACAAGGAACATGAGAAAATTGCTTCGGGATATTGAATAAACGCCTCTAATCTCGTACAAATGACACGTCAGTGAGGGCGATAGACGAAAAATATTCTCCCATTCGCACACCATAATAATATCTCAAGAAAAGAAATTGTGTGTGTGTCTGCAGCTGAAGGGTTTGTCCCATGCCCAGAGGGCGCCTTTCCTCCTTTCGCTCCTGGGGCTGGAATAACTTTTTATTCAATCACAATTCTATTGGATCATTTTTTCGCCCTCGCACCTCGTCGCCAAGCACAAATCGATGTGTGTATCCTTAAGTAGATTGCCTCCTCTGCAAATGGTTGGTAAATTTAATGAAACCCGAGACATTTTGCAGAGGGCGCAAAGTGAGGAAGCTCGCTTGGCGAGTATTCCGAACGGAAATTACAGCCATTGCTCGGTAATCTGATCTTATAGTGGGGTTTTGCGACGAACAACAGACATTTTTGCGGTCCTGCCGTCGTTCCCAAAGGCCGAGCTTCACCTTAAAACCTCCAAGAAATCCACTTTCATTAACCACCTGTTGCCCAAAAGGTATTTAGCCCCAGGAACTACAATCTGGGGATCTTCCGCAGACATATCAATTGATTGAGAGCTCATCAGGCGAAAAAAAGGTACATAATCTCGAGTATTTTGGGCTAATCACTGAGACAAGAAGTAGTAAAAATGATTAAATGTCGGCCATTTGCCTGGTCCATATTGATGAAGTGCCCAAATGAGAGCACAACAGTCATTTGCAGTGTCGGCCCACCGTCCGAGTTAATCAGAAGTTTGAGGGTGGATGAATTAACTCCCTCTTCTTCCCATCAGTTCATCTCCGTCATTGGTGATTTTTCCCACAGAATTCACCATGATGGACGTCTTGAGTTTCTCCGCGAAGAAGACAGCACAAAGAAAGGGCTTTAATTACCACGACAACCAATACAAAGACGTTGGTTTTTGTAATGGATTAGTATCGATGATAAAGGACACGATAGAGGGCAAGGGTGGAAAAAAAAGTTACTCCCAAGCTTAATGATGCTGAAAGTTATTAAAGGGGCATCGAATTAAAGATTCGTGACTCTCGTCGTGACCCTGTTTCGAATCCTTTCGAAAGAAAACAATTCATCCAAGTATTCGCAGAAAGCTAACACAAAGGCCACCAATCAATTTGGTATTTGTACAGAGCAAAACAAAACTCGCCATGGATTGGGAATTGTTGCGCAAAGTCCTAAAGAGCGCGGTCGAAAAGTTGTGTACATGAAAATACCACAATTGATCGCGCGTGTTTGCAGCATTTGTGCGCGCGGGGAGAAATTGCCATGATGTTTGGCTGGAGAGCAACAAAAGATTGTTGATGTATTCAAACGCAGCTTCCGGCTGATTTCCATTCCTCGTCTCGACTCCCTTTGTCTTCCTGACTTGCCGAAACCCACCCCCGAGTGAGAGTCCGCGTCTGACAAAGGCATGAAAATCATGTGGAAGGTGTGAGAAGTGCTTAGAAGGCGCAGAGTGGATGTTTTTTCTGTCTCAGCGCGGCTCACAATTGGAATCTCTTGTCTCTCTTGTTGTGATTTTCTGCATTGTCGAGACATCTGTCTCGGTGTACATAATTATGCCTCGGGGCGGCTGCAGGGGATGAAGGGATATGTGCGCTTCCTCATGAAACAGAGCGAGATCCGCTTGTGATCTCTCGCACACACTCATCTCATGGCGCTGCACGAGAGAATGGCGGAAAATCATATCCGGAACTGTCAGTATCACACGAGCTTTCCATCCCTCAAAGGGGTGACTTTGAGTGTCAGTTGAGGGTAAATTGGAAAACATTTCACACGAGGAGGCACATTCAAATTTCGCAATCTTTCATGCCAGGCGAGCACACACAAGCACACGGAGCATCAATTGCACTGATGAGGCAACATACTCCCCTGACGAGGTCAAAGAACCATCATTGCATCCACCGAAGGTATCATTCTTGGCTAGTGCCTTTCCTTGTTCCGCACAAAATGTGTGTACAACAGAGAGAGCGCAGTTCATTCCAATAAAGCTGCAAATGAAACTAATGAATAATTTTACGAATCCTGCAGACAATTGCCGCAGACGGAGGAAATGAGAAATACTCATTTGCAGCATCGTGAAAACGTGAGTTGATGACGAAATGCCGTTACAGTGAGCAAGAAAACCCGAGGAAATTAATTGTCAGCCGCAGGGGAGCTTTTTTGTCTTGCACCCACAAACACACCCCGCATTTCGAAGGATGTACTAATTACTGACGAAAATTGCGGCCTCGCCGAGACATTACGCGACAGACGTTGAAGCGATTTCGGCGATTTACACGCGCCATAAATCTTTGGGATATGCGAAGAGGGAAGAAGAAGTGTCTGGCAGAAGAATGACGCCGGTTGACATGTAATTGCATCGTCTGATACCCTTCGACGACTGTCTGGAGGAAGCGGAAAGAAGTCCTGAATATGCTGAAGTGGCGCAGACCCGTCGTGTCAATATTTGCCCCAAAACGGGAGTGGGGAAACTTATGCTGCTGAATTCACTTAAAATGTCATGAGTTGCACTCAGCATGGCCATAATTGCTGCTGCTGCGGAGTTCCAGCAAAGCTGAAAGCCACAAAATCCCTCTGCAAATATTTATCTTTCACCTTCCTCAATGCGCTGAGGATTCGGCTCATGACACGAAGTGCCATAAATTCTGAGAAAGAGGAACTAATTGACCAGCATTATCTTCTGTTCTCCCGCTTGATGTTCTCGCAAAGTGAGTGCCTTTTCCAAATTCAATTCAGACAATCCCTAAATGGAAGGAATATAGCAATAAATGTATTTGGATTGAAGATTATATTATGTATAGTGCGTCATTAAATTACAGCAGTTCTAATGAATAAACACTATGATTGGAGGTGAAATTAGTGTGTTGATTTTGATCAAATATATAGAATTGTGCTCGAGATCTTTAAGAAACATTTTCTGACAATATTATCAAGAGAAAAATCATGGTAATTCTTGGAAATAATAATTGAAACATGTTTTCAGATAAAATGTTGCACAAAGTCACAGAATTCGGAGAAATTCGAAGAAAGTCCAATTAATTTACAGTCATTTGCGAAATGAGGAGTTGATTGAAGCTTAAAAATTATGCTTTAATTGCCAAGAAATCTCTTCACTCAATAGCTAGATTTATTATTCAGATTTTTTGTGGTTGATTATTTGGCTATTCTAAGCATGGATTCGCTGAAGCTTCAGTTTATTTAGGATCGCTTGATTTTCAATGGGTTAAAAGAGCACAGAATTAAAATTCCTAGAAGAGAGATGGTGACTTTCGCCATTTAAGATTGTTTTTGGAGTTGGGAAGAAAACAGACCGTGAGTTTACGCACAATTCCTGCCAAATTACTGCGAGTCAATGAGTTGTGATTGCGTCAAAATCTTATCATTGGAATACAAGTTATCAGCCACGACCCCATAAACGTCGCGTGCTTGGAAATGATCTGAAACGCGAAGAGACTCTTCGGGGGTTAGCCTCGCTTGTGTGTTTCACGTGTGCTGAACAAATAGTGCCTGTCGAAGTCAATTAGCACAATCTTCAATTTTCACTCTAATTTGATCATATCACGGTCTGGAGGAGCACACCAGAACCACACAGAGAATTTTCGTGTTCGACAGCCTCAAACTACACTTTCATTGCTCTTGTACCCTTAAATAATAAAATTTTCACGCACAGTTCACCACGAAACCCCCCCAGAAGGCCGCCCACCCCCAAGCAGCATCCCTCGCAGAGAGAGCTTAGTCGTGTAAATTTCCGGGCGCGCCTGTGTGAGTGTCAAGTGTGAGAATGTGGGTGAAAACCATCCCTTTTTGCACCAATTCAATCACTCTTGCAGCTCTGCGTGCTCACGAGAAAGGGTGTCTCTCGCAGAGGTCCTCTCTCTCCCTCTCTCTGGCGCTCGGGAAATCCGCATGGGAAAGCCGAGAGAGTGAGTCCTGAGAGCGCCGAGAGTGCGGCACATTGTGGAAAAGCTCGGCGACGCTCCACTCAGTCGTGGAGTAAGCGTCGTGACGGGCACACCTGGAGATGCAGCTCAGGCTCTGAATTGGCGGCAAGAAGTGTTCCTCCGCGAGTGGGAGGAAAAACCACCTCGGGAAATTCGGTGCGAGCGGTTGTATATCTCAAAAGTTGAACCATAAAGTGTGATCTTTCCCACGTCATTTCCGCCGCGATGGACGACTGATAAAAAATGTAGATTCAACGTGCGCTCGAGGCAATTTTCACGGCTTTTCCGGCGCGTCTTCCACCTCTAGAAATACACACATACACAGAGAGAGAGCAGATAAAAGAGAACACAGTGTAACACCGGAAAAAAGTCCACGCACAGTGACGAAGAGATTGTTGGCAAAAGTGAAGTCTTCCAATTTGAAAAGAAAAAAACCAAAACTTGGGAGATGAAGTGCAAAATTCTCTGGAGTTTATTCCTCTTCAGTGTCGTCATGTTGGCAAAAAGCGGTGAGTGACAAATTAATCAATCTACAATACCGTGAAAGGAGCACCATTGAATATCAGAAAGTCACCATCTCAACCACAAATCCCAACCCTTATCCAGCGCAAAAAGACAACAAAGAAGACATTTGTTGTGTTGCCAATACGCCCAACAATTTATCACAATACAAACACCTCACAATACCTTCCGCCCTCATCGTGTCACTTCCGCCGGATGAGTGGCAAAAAGTGCGTGCTTCTCAGGTGGGAAATCTCAACCTTGGGGGCATCGCAATATCGCACTGAAAGCCGAAGATGTAGGCATCGTAATGATGCAAATAAATTTCCACCTCGTCAGAAATCCCGACGAAAAACTCCACTTCGCCCCAGCATTGAATGTCAGAGTGAGATAAGGGAATTTCCATTGAAATTCTGAATATTCTATATTGAAAAGAAGTTGTGAATTTTCAGCGAGAGAGGAAAGTTTCATTTGGAATATGACAGGAAATCTGCAAAGAGTACAATTGAATTGATTTTCAAAAGTTCCTTCTGCAATGGAGTTTGTATTGCTTATGAATTTCCTGTTTGAGTTTCTGACGTGAGAACAATATACAATTCAGTCAAATTTACCTTCTATATAGCATTTGTGTATCTTCTGCGGTGTAAGATTACCGGGCGAGATGAAAGGGGCAAATCAGTGGGGAAGTCGATGTTGTAGCACGCATGAGTTCCACCACAAGGGGGAGAAAATATTCCTTCAATCTGCCCACCACTTCTAGAACCTGGAAGTTTTTATGCTGTTTCCGCATTAATTCCCAAATTATAATGAATCTCTTAAGTTTCTATCCGATTTTTCTGCAAAAAGTCCATTAAAAACACATTTTGGGCATCTTTTTCGACCATAACCTCAAAATATAACTAGATCTTCAAAAACTCCATTTTGAAGTATTCTAGATCACCAAATGATCTGGTTTTGATTTGCCAATGAACTCTAAATTGCAGATTCACCGTCAAAATTGTCTAAAACATTTTTTCAAGATGTTTGTTTTTTGGTTATGTTTGAGTTCAATTCAATTTTCAGTGTTTTTGGTATTAAAGATTCAGAATATCAATATTTTTCGCATTCTGCCAATGATTAGCAATCCTGTCGATTTAGAGCATAAGAATTGTTGTGCTAGAATCTGAATTATTCACTCAATCTGTCTCAGATTTGTCACATAACCTAGAAATTGATTGTTTCTTAGACAAATTCAAAGGAAATTGAAAGAATCTGGACGATTTGTCAGTAAAAAATCATGCAGGAAAGGAAGATTGTGGGTTTTTCAACACTTCCACTTCTTAAGTATACTTCAGCTGAGCTGTACACCACTTCTGGACTGTACTATCTCCCCCTTGTTCCACCATAAATGAATCACTGAACCCCTTGTCGGTTAATCTATGGACCCGAGCAGCATCTGCGCCCACTGCTGAATACCACCTCAATTAGCAGACCTTCGCTGCAACACTGAATTTATCGATTAATATGCCAGAGAGGGAGAACACGCAAATTCATCCCCATATTGTGCATGTTTGTATTGAAAATGCACCCTTTATGAATGACGAGCGTGTGCGCTTTCACTTCGCCCTTCGCCATGAATGTTGAAACAAAGAGGAAAAGACTGCAAATACTGCATCATCGCAATAAATACACGAAAGTGTAATTTATACCATGAGCTACAGGGTGAAAGATGATTCTGGGCGTCTGTGGGAAATTCCAACACACACCCCAACACGCTCATGGAAAACCCACCCAGACAATTGTCGATCTCGCCCCGTGTGCCAAACGACGCCCGCCGGTATTTAATTCGCTTATTTGATTTATTGTTCGTGCGGTTTTATCGAATTATCCTAACGTGGAATGGGTGGATCGCTGCTGTTACAAGGTGTGCCGATTGCACTGCGAAAATATTAATTCATTCCTTCGTTTAGCGGAAATTGCCCAGCGGCAAAATGAAGAAGAAGTTGCTGTTATGGGAAGCGATGCACATTCAATTGATCAAACAAGACAATGTCAATAAGAAACAAGACAGTCAGTTTGTAAGTAAAATAAGAATTTTCAGTGTTTATTAGAGCTTTTTTGGAACACAAGAGCGAAGCTTCTGTGTTTTACTGTTCATAAAACTCTAAAAATAGTCAGACAATATATTTGAAAAACTATAAAACTTCAACATAATGTCATTTATGCAACGTTTTCAGAGGCATATTTTGTGCTCAATGCCCAGAAAATGGCAAATTGACAAAAATTTAGCTTCATGGCATGCAAAAGCGCCGTTTAAGCGTCTCACCCTGTTCCAGAATATGTTCACATGCAGAGCAGTCGGTGGGATCATACCTTGGTAAACACACAACCCCTCTCCCACCCTAAAAAACCCCACAGACGCCCAAAGAGAAGCCAAATTTTGCAGAGGGAAGCATTCTGTAAGTCACATTTCCGATGACTCAGAAACTTTAACATTGCCTCGCCGCCAAAGTCGCTTTACTTGACTTGGAGAGATCATGTCGCATGGCATATTCTCCACGAAACAATTCACGGCAATTCATTGAATCCACTGAAAATTGGCCAAATGCTAAATATAGACATGGATAAGTGGCTGATAAAGTGTCTCTGCAGCGACTCTGTATCACGTTTTGGTGCTATTTCAGACTGGACCAAATTGAATAAGTGCGGCAAATTGAAGTGATTCCATTCACATGTGCGAATATTTCATATTAGCACCTAAAGGCCATGGAGTTCAATATTTTCTCCCTCGTCTCTCTCTCTCTCTGGGGGATGAACTTAGCGCTGAAATATGTTGGGGTAAATTGAAGATGACGGCCGGAAAATACACTTGTAGGACCATCAAATTCAATATTCTGCCCACGAAGGCGCCGCACTCTTTCTATGGGCGGGAAAACAAGGTGGAAAATATGATAATTTAATTTCCAACTGCAACCTCGACCCGAGACGTCCGGATGGTGCAGAAAATCTCAAAAATCACACAAACACACACACACACACAAAAGAAACTAACCAAGCGGCAAAGACGCACTTTGGAGAAATTCCCAAATAAATTTATTCCATCTGAAATTATGTAAATATCCTTCGGAATTTATTTTCCATCGTTGCAAATAGACACACACGTACGTGAGAAAGAGGAACACTTGGAATACAATTTTCTTCCATCGGTCAATTCACTGTAGCGAAAAGTGAGTTGAGACGAACTTAGATTGCTAGATAAAGGATTTGGAAGAAAATTGTAAAATTTATTAGGGGAAAAGCTGGATTATGACGAAATATGTTAGGAATTTTTGTGATAAATTAACCAAAAAGTGTTTTCTTGTGGTGAAAAACCCTAAAATAATTTAATATATTTTCTTCTGTGATTTTCAAAGCGATAAGCGAATGAATGTTTGCCTAAATAAAGTAGTTTTTCAATCAACTTTAGCTTTATTATAATCATTTTTTTATTACCTAATATAATCTGCATGCGTAGCCTTATCTAGCAACTTCCTTTCGGCGACTCGGCAACTCTGATGTGAAGATTCGGGGAGAAGCTGCTGGAAGCTGAAGAGAGATTACTGTGGGTTATGCTGATGTATGATGAATGTCTTGTTACCCATGGTAACAGGCACATCCTCTGATGGATTCCGTCTGTGCGAATAAATGCTCCGGCACTCGGAAATCAAAAGTATTCGGGCTCAGACATGTGTCAAAACGGATTTGAGAGGGACCATCTCTGTCTTTCGTCTGGTTGGGAGGAACCAAATGGGGAGAGAGAGAGTGTGCAGCGGGAAAATCCCTCAGCCAACCTCACTCTATATCGAATTATACTCGAAAATGTCCCCGAAATTTTCCATTTCACCATTCAATTGGAAATCTCTTAGGGACTCTTTTTCTCACAATACACGGCGATAGAATACAAAAATACAAAGGCGAGGAAGACAAACAAGAATGTGGGTGGATTGAGCAAACATGAGCGAGAGACGAAGGAATTGCAAATATATCTCAACTTTTGAGTGGTTTTTTCTCTCTCTCTGGTCCGAAATCCTCACTTTATTTTATATATTTTCCTTTTTCACGCAAAGCATTGGTGAATAAATGAAAAAAAATTCACACACACAAAACCAACAAATTGGTTAATGCACAGGGACTTCAAGTTCTTCTCGTCGCGCACGTAAAGGACAAAAAAGCCATTTTCAGGTTGACAGGCGAGATGAAATATAAAATTTCAACAAGTTACATAAAAGAAGGCAAAAGGTATGAATTTTTTTTACGGCTTCTCATACACTGGCAACTGTGGAATATAAGAATGAAGTTACACTCTCTCCTTGTCGCATTGTTTGCCTACCCAAACAAAAGATATGAAAAGTGTTTCCCCGGCGAATATTGATGTCGCATTCTTTACGAGAAATCCCATCGTATTTGTTCTGCAAGTCCTCATCCATTATGCAAATTAATTTACTTTCCGCAACGATTTTCGTCACTTGACTCACCGTGAATATCGTCACGCTGAGCAACTTGCAGGAGCTGGAAGGGAAGCTTTCGAGGGATTTATAGCTGGATCCAAACTGACGAGGGTAATTCGGTGTCACTTTGGCGAGACATTTCCAGTAAATTAGTGAAAATTTTATTGTCCAGCATCTGGATTACGTGGCAGTTTTACTACGGCCGAAGCTCAGCTTGAGAGCTTTTATTATTGCAATTGTGAATTTGTAGAGTTGATTTGTTATTAATTTGCAATGAAAATTCTGCGGGGATTAGAATTATGAGTCTCAATCTGTGGTCCATTTCATGCACCTTCATCATCATCTCGGCCAGCTTTTCCGCCCACTCTCTCCCCACCCCTCCCCCTTTCATCCCCCCTCGAGACAGAGGCAGAGCAATCAATGTTGGGTAAAGATTGAAGGAGCTTTTGTGGAGAAAATGTGGTCCGTTATTGGAGAGCATTTCAGCTGAAATCACGGAGGGCAATAAAAAGAATTAACCCTAATAGTGGTGGCTTGTGTCT